TTGGAATAGAATGTGTAGTTTTCCCAAAGCATTTGTGCGTATGGAAATAAAAGCTATTAGAAGGATTTTGAGCTTTATTCACTTTTTTTTCACACACTGCTATTATTTTGAACACAACTGTGTGTGTGTGTGTGTGTGTGTGTGTATATATATATATATATATATATATATATATATGCAAGCATTTGTAATTCTGGTGGATGCACCCCTACTAAACAAGATTTGTTTCTGCAACTGAGTGGTGCAGTTCATTCAACCCCAGCCTCTAATGACTGAGCTAGCTGATAAGGTTTTCTTTTTTGCTCTTTGTTCTTATCAACATGTTCAAGAGATTGGCAGCACTATGGCAGGCCATAGATGATGCTACTTTCTTTCCTGCAACCCCGGGGAGCTATCGTTGCTAGGAGAACACAATGATTATTGGTATCAGTTATAGCTGCTGACAATCATCGCATGTAAAAATCTGATATTCTAGTTGTACCCAAGTCGTACAACAATCAAATTGGGTACAATCAGCCTGCCCATAGATTGTTTGAATCTCAGCCGGTCCCTATTGGAACTGAGCGAGATTCAGACCATCTATGGGTGGCTTAAGCAAAGGAATACAGCTTTGGCAAATTCATCTCCCTCTGCCAATCCTGCTATGCAGATGATTAAAGGAGGCTGATATCAGTAGGGATTCATGCACTTATACTAGTTTTATCTAAGATTTTTTTAAAAGTCTAAATAAATGAATTAAATCATGTTTATAATAGCTGTCTGGTGTGATTTACCATGTGCAGGTTTACCTACTGAAAAAAATGTAATTCAGTAGGCTTGCCACCTGTTATCTGTTAATCAAAATATGAGTAATAAAACCGATACATAATATGCAAGATGAATTTTAGTTTAGCTAAGAACAGCATTTTTACAACAGTATTGTTCTTCTATCAATAGTATTTAGTTTGCATTCTCTGTGTGATTCCCTTGAGAGATAGTCACAGCATGACCTAGTTTTTTTCTGTATTACAAGAACTAAATACCTTTTTTATCGGTTGTCTTTCTCTGCTCATGCCAAGCATGCTGTAGGTGTTGCTGTAAATGTCACATAGTATTAGCAAAAGCTGCAACACTGGGGATTTCATGAATTAAAACAAAAATGTTAATATTGAATCATGATGAGAAAAATGTATACTAGAAAATAAAGGAAGTATCTAGAAATAGTACAGTTCCATACACCTATTTAATGACAAGTTTTAGCATTACTTACAGTAAAGCCTCTTGCACACAGGCATCATAATTTACTATGGTTTAATCAGGAACTTGTAACATTAATGTGCAAGGGGCCAAAAACTGTGTCAGGACCTGAGTAGAGTTGACTATAGGTGAGTAAAGGTGTGTAAGTGTAGACGAGTAAAATCCTTCATTATTGCCAGTATGTTGGCCCTTTGCACACGGGTGTCACAAGTTCCTGAGTAAACATCAGCAAATCATGACACCTGTGTGCAAGGGGCCTAAACGAGTAAACGCCCATGTAAATTACTGTACTCAAATATAAAAAAGTTATTTTTTTTGTTTTTTTGCTCTGTACTCAATGCTGTATTACTGATCTTTACTCAGCTGTGTGCAATGTCCTATAGACAACAATTCATCTTTTTTCGGATCAGTAAAAAAGTCAGCATTTTTTTACTCCCAAGTGCAACAGGAAAGTTAAAGAAGAACTCCAGTGTAAACAAAATTTTCAATAGTATCTCTCTCTTTATCTCTCTCTCTGTATATATAGTATACTGTGTATATAAAAAAAAAAAGCCAGTAAATAGTAATAAGCAATCAACCAAAGTGTACACATGTTAATAAAGGGTTTCTTTGGACATGACCAGTTTATGCTTTCATCCCCCCCAACTATGTTCAGTGTAAATCTATACCGGTACATCTATGTAGGTAAGTATATGATATACAGAGTTAGAATTACACTAAGCAAGCATTTATATTCTAATAAGGAAGATTTCAAATTCATTTTAAACAAGCAAACCTTGGTGAAACCTGGTCCCCATTGCTGCACCCTATATTGCAGGTAAATTGTTTTTCTTATTTAAAGATGTGATTGGGCTTGACATTTATTTAACATAATGGGAAATCTTTGTTTTACTGTTATCAGGGGATCAAATATAAATACTGAAGGACAGAAAAGTTTAAGAATTTATTTAGTATATTAGGAAATAATACAGTGATCAAAAGTGTCCTTGTGCATTGTGTATCAAGAAACGTAAAAATAAATCAGTATGTGGAATCTCTTAAAAGAATGGTGTGTTAAATGCCTGACTGAAGTCACAGAAATGGATATGCAGTCAGATACTTAAGTGCTACCAAAATCCATATTCATAGTCGTACTGCCACTTTCCTATTATAACATCTGTGCAGGGAGTCTAAATGTTAGGGATCTGGGTATGACCACAAATGTGTGGACTAACACAGGGAAACGCAGACTTCAGGTATAGTGTGAACAAGACAATGTATTAAGACTAAACAAAACATAGACGCAGTGCAAGACTAAACATAAACACAGTGCAAACAAACCAACCCAAACCCTCTATAACAATAGAAACAATACTAAGCGTAGTCTGGCAGGCCGGGTCGGTAGCAAACGGGTAGGCAGGGCACAAGGAGCAGGCGGAAGAGTAGTCAGGAATAGCCGAGGTCAGGACAGGCGGAGTTCATGCAGAGTCAGGAATCGAAGCAGAATCTGGATCAGGCAGACAGGATGCAGGTACAGGGGCCCATGGGAAACATACACCAAGGCCCTGATCACAGGCCTGGCCATTCCTTAAATACACCTGTTGTAATCAGCTTCAGGTGATGGCTCATTGCAGGAGTGAGCCTCTGGTTGCTGAGAGCACCAGCTGGCCAGCCCTGGTACTGCAGCCCACAAGGCAGGTGAGTCCCACCACCACTGGCAAGTCCATTCCTGACACTAAATATGGCTGTGTAGTCCAAAAGGGACCATAGTTAGACCCAATGTTCTCATTAAACTGTAAAAGAATTGGTCTGAAGCACTCCCTTTTTCCTCTGCAATAAATGCCTGGGTTAGGACACATGTGATAAGGGGTGTGGATGTTGTCACAATCACAAATCATAACATGAATTTGAAAGAGGAAAGAACTCTTTGTAGCAGAGGTATTTCATTTTGCTTCAGTATATGATTGAAGTGGAACAGCCAAAACCTTTGAAGGCAATTAGGCTGTGTCCCCATTGAGGAAATCCCACCTTACTTCCTGTCCCAATGACTGTTGCTACAACAACAAAGTACAATCTCTCCACTGATGGTTGCCACTGAAACAGAAAATAAGTCTTCTCAATCACTTAACAGGGGCATCTGTCATAGGGACGTCTGTCAAATGTGATATTTCCCCTCATATTGGGAAGGATTCTTCTCATCTTTTAAGAGCTGAGAAAGATTCTTTGTTCTGGAGTGTTGAAAGTTGTTGATATATTGAAATAGATTTTTGTACTAGTTACTGTAAATCAGAATGCCTATTATAACTTAGAGGAGGGTGTTGGAAGTTAGAACAATTTAGGCTAGGATAGAGGATGTCCAAGCTGAAATCCTGGATTGTTTTAAGATTGCACTTTCATCCAGCTTTGCATTACTAAATCATGTAGGGACCATTCTGTTCCAGATACTCCCCCCCCCCCCCCCCCCCCACACACACTTTTTTGGCAAGGCAATTGAAGTTACATAACTTCCAACCAATAAAATGCAAGCTAGAAGGGCTTAGATAGTTCAGTCATGACCACTGTAAACACACATCTTCTCTCACTAGACATTCACTAGACTTTTTCATAGTCTTTGTTTCATGTCGAGAAGTAAATTGTTAGCTTGCAAAACATGTTTTTGTGTCCAAAAATGTTGTATGTAACCTCATCTTGAATCACTTTGTCAGATTGTTTTACTCACTGCTAGCCCAAACTGCTACTCTAACCAGTCTTTTAAGTGCTTTTGTTCAATAATTCTTAAAGTGTTACTAAACTCATGTCCCTGCTTTCACTATATTGGTTCTCCCACAGTACACAGAACATGAAAATGCAATTATTTTAGTAAATATAAACTGCTAAATACTTTTTCTCATCAGCCGTATATAACAATCTTGTGACTTCTATCAGTGTCCAGCTGAGCACTGGTTATTAAGCTTGTAGGAGGAGTTTTCATTCTGCTCTGACTGTCCTATGAAGCTGCATAACTCCTGACCACCTGTCTGGACAGTGCTGATTGATGTGCTGATCACATGCACCCTCCCAAAGGAAAAGAAAAACTCTCTAGCAATACACACTAAACTAAGCATATGCAGAGTGATTCCTAGAGGTTCAGTGAAGACAGGATCAAACTTCCTTTATACACAATGCAGATGATTAACCCCATAGGTTCCACAGTGAGTATAACAAGCATGCTTTACTGCATATACAGAATGATTTTACTGTTGTGGGCTTAGTAACACTTTAATTGTGAGTGCATCAGACGTTTGTTCCAGCACAATAAACATATAATGCAGTAAAGTAGACTTTTGGGACTCAATCTATAGTATGCTAGAATTTTACAGTATATACTGACAGCAACAAATATCATTTATACATATACAAATGAAATTTGATTATGCTTTCTGTATAATAATTAATAGTATTTTTCCACAAATGTAAACACAATTTAATATACAGATGTTAAAATGGATGAATCTAAAGCACTGCTAAATTTGCACTAAGCTAGAAGAAACCAGACTGAACATACCATCGGTAGGGTGTGCAAAGTACCATAAGCCTTAGAAACCAAACCGATTTAATCTTTGCTGTCACTTGAGTAAATTTTGATAGTAAGTTGAAATTTTCTTGACATGGTTAACTGCAATTTTATGCATTTTAATTGCAATTTGTAATTAAATGTGCCCAAGTGTGAGAGTACTACATAGTCAAGGTTTGTTGAGAATAATCAAACAATTCCCAATCAAATGATTATTTAATTTATTTGACAGGCAAGATTATTGAAGAACTGAAAAGAAATCAGCTTGAGAAGAATACATTGGTATATTTTACGTCTGATAATGGAGGACATGTAGAGGAGATTTCCTCTACTGGCGAAGTTCATGGAGGATGGAATGGAATCTACAAAGGTAATATTTTTTTTTTATAAATATATATAAAATGTTCAATAATCCCAAATTCAGTTATTGAATGGAAAGTCATGCATCTTTATTTACAATAATTAGCTTACAATTGTCTTTAACAGTCCTATATAAAAGAAGAACTCAAATAGAGAAACATGATATTGAGCAGCTGAACTAGTCAAACACCTAAAACACAATTGAAAAACCAGAGCCTCTTTACCTGCCAAAAGGTTTTTGTTTCTATCCAACCAGGGGTGGACTGACAACTCATGGGGCCCCGAGTAATAAGAGATAATGGGGTCCCCTGTGTCCCCGCCTACTTGCCAGCCACACCCACACAATGCCACATCTACATATTGCAGTTCAGCTGCATAGAATGGACATTTAAATATTTACTGCAGCAAAGACTGCATGAATGTCCCCGGCTTCTTTCCGTAGAAGCCACTGGGCACTTCCAGGTTTAAAGATGGCTACCATGGGTGGGAAGTAAGTCAGAGAGGGAAGTGAAAGAGAAGGGATGAGAGAGAGGAGGGGTGAGAGAGACAGAGGAAGAGGAGTAAGAGAGAGAAAGGGATGAGAGAGGAGGGGTGAGAGAGAAGGGTGTATTTTAAATTGCGCAAACAATTTGCCATGGCTTAAAAGGGGTATGGTTAAATAGTGTTTGAGATGACTTACATGCAGAATGTGTTAATGTTAAATAGGGAATGTACAGCGTGCAGTGTATGGGTAGTATGTACAGGGAGGGGAGTGTGGAGTTCATGATAGTGGGTAGTATGTACAGGGAGAGGAGTGCGGAGTGTATAGCAGTAGGTAGTATGTACAGGGAGAGGAGTGCGGAGTGTATGGCGGTTGGTAGTATGTACAGGGAAAGGATTGCGGAGTGTAAAGCGGGGTAGTATGTGCAGGATGGTGTCAGTAGATCTGTATTTTTATTATTATTGTTTTTTACAATTTTATAATTTTTTTTTTAAATGTAATGTTTTTATTATTTTCATTATTTTTTCAAAATGCTTTTGGGTGGTCAGTGGATGGTGTCAGTAGAGCAACGGCATGGGTGTCAGTTTTTTTTTTTTTTTTTTATTACTATTTAATTTTTTTAATTATTTTTTACAATTTATTTTTGTATTAATTTTTTTCACAATGGTTTTGTGGGGGCAGTGGACAGTGTCAGTAGGGAGTGAACAGGGAGCACTAGTTATGTTGGGCTGTAAATAGATTGGGATAAATAAACAGATGAATAAACAGAACCTGTACCCCCTTATATGAGGAGGAAAGAAGGAAGGGAGGGAGGGAATGGATGGAGGAAGGGAAGGAAGTAAAGGAAGGAGGGGAGGAAGGAAGGGGAAAAGTGAGGGAATGGATGGATGGAGGAAGGAAGGAATGAAGGAAGGGGAGTGAGGGAAGGAGGGAAGAAAGGGGAGGGAGGGAAGGAAGGAATTAAGGAAGGAAGGGAATGAAAGGAGGGGAGGGAGGAAAGAATGAAGGAAGGGGATGAAGGAGGGCAGGGAAGGAAAAAAAGGGAGGGCAGGAATGGATAAAGGAAGTAAGGATGGAAGGGGAGGGAGGAAAGAGAGGGAGAAAGAAAGGAGGGGAAGAAAGAAGAAAGGGTAGGAACAAAGGTGGGGAGGGAAGGACTCATGTGGATGGTACCTGGTTTACCGGCACATTCAGAATCATCACAGAGCTGCAATCTGATCTGGACACAATTTCCCCACACAATCTCTTCGGACTGGAGTGTGGGCGGGGACAGGGGTGGTGGGGAGTGTGGGCAGGGACAGGGGAGGCAGAGCAGATCTGGGCTCTCTCCCTCTGCTCTGCCATTGGTGTGGTGGATGGGGAGAGGGGCTGGGCAAATTGAGGTATCCGAGAGGGAGCTGAGTAGCACACAGGGGGAATGGGATGGCTAAGCAGCACACGGGAGGCCAAGAAGGGAAATCTGATGCACAGTCAGGGATGATCGGTGCAGCGGTAGGAACAGTGACAAGCACTGATCTCCCTGTATGGCTTTCAATGAAGCAGCTGAAAGCTATTTCTCCTCTCCCTCGCGGCTTTCAGCTGCTTTATTGAAAGCCATACAGGGAGATTGGTGCTTGTCACTGTCCCCACCGCTGCATCACCGATTTTGCTCCTGATACATTTCATCCGTGGGTGCAGGGTGTGTGTATTGAACACCCTGCACTCATGGATGATACGTCACTGCCTCTCACCTTCCTACTGCCCACCAGCTCCATCACCAGCAGCCGGTACAAAGCACTACCACTGGCCAGGACCTAAACTCCCTCAAAGGTGAGCTACTTCCAGGATCTGAGACTGCCACCTCCTCCACTCCCCACATTGTCACCGGACAGTGAGCCTCTCACGGGGCCCCCTACTGACCCTGGGCCCTCGGGCAATGCCCGAATGGTCAGTCTGCCCTTGTATCCAACCTATCCTTATGCATATGTGATAGTCCTGGACCATTAAAAGTGAAAATTGGTTCAGATGGATCTACCATAAAGTGATTATTCCTTCAAAGAAGTAGATTTGTTCTTGAAATATAGTATAGATGGACCCTGTTCTGGTCCTAGGCTGCTACCTTTCTGATAGCAATAGAGGAAGTGCTCCATAGATGACAAATTCTTGGATGTGTACTGAGAAGTGCCTGGTTCAAAACTGCATTTCACTTGCAGGTCTTTTAATGGTTAAGATCATTAAATACAGCCAACATCCTTTAGGGAAAAAAGCCCCCCCCCCCCCTTTCAGGGCTCAAATAGTTTAAGTTAATAAAATCATGACATACTGCTCTAGGGGAACTGTGTTAAAGCTTGATGAAGGCTAATATCTCCTGATGACACTAAAGGCAATCAGCTGAGCTTGGTGATTTACATAAACCTCACAGAGAGCAAATCTATGGCAGTGACCTGACTTTTCTTTACTGTGGCAAATCAATGCAACTAGCTCACCTCCCTGCCCTTGACTGTGAGTGGAAAGTGATGGAGAAGAAGCAGACTGATGAACTGATTCTTCTGCTTTCTATTCCTATGAACATATTGCATATAAGCCCAAGTACACACAGCAGTCTGTATGCTTTTGTGCAAGAGATGACAAATACCGATATGAAAAAAGATTTACATACGTATGCTGGTAGAAGATGTACGTACATTCAACAATTTCTGTTCAATACATAACTGCAGAATTTAAATATTTACATAGTTCCCTGGCATTTACCTTTAAACTGTTTTCAACATATTTTTTTTGCAAAAAAACAATGGACACATTTCCAGAAAGCTTACAATTATGTAACTTTTCACTGCTTCACTATATTGTGATAATTGGCAGCACAGGTTTTTGTTCCCGTACAAACCTCTGCAGCTATTACAAGCTGAAGAGGAGGAGAGGTTATGCATAGGTCTCATTTTTTTATTGTTACACATGTACTTGATGATTACATCCATGGAGATTGCACAAACACAAAATGTCATTGCATAGAATTTGCTCTCAGAATTAGCTTTATAGTAAATAATGGGACGTTGGTCGAGTGCATATATATATATATATTTGAATATGAACATTTTTTTTTCCCTTTCTTCTGTATGTGTTATTATGTCCTCTGGGCTAACTTTCTACCAAAATATTGTTTTAATGCTATTTAAGTAGACATGGGAAGGACATTTAATTCAGCATATGCAGGTTTTATTTAATAAAACTGTCACACAAAGCAATGATGACGATGCAAATGTAGTTATCCATGACAACCAATATAAAGTCACTTGTGTTTTTGACTATAGTTAACTGCAATTTGATTAGTTGCTATGGTTACTTTACTTGTCCCACTATTATTACTGTTTAGACTGCTTCACATAATAATAGTAATGAGGCTATTTCTTTTCCTGCACTTTAAGTTATAATGCAGATTAGGTTGAATGTTTAAATGTAAGTAAAGTGTGTTCGGCTGAAAGTAGATATGTGCTTTTCATTTTTATTTCATCTATTTTCACATCCCAATTCTGCTGATTTCCTGCAGCTTCTTTGTAACCACTTCCTGTCTACATGTACTGGCTCTAGTGTGGGCTGCACATCATTGCTCTGGGTTGGATTTCTAATGGTAACAGGGGATCATTCCTGTACAATGTGTGTTGGCATGACTGTTTTTGAAGTCCAGATGTGTGTTTCAGGGTGACAACTCCTGTGGACAACTAGAAAACAATTGTCATACCATAACAAGAACTGAGCCTTTCTGAACCATTCTGTCCGAAAGTAACATTCTGAATAAATCACCAGATATAATTTTAATGAAAGCTGCACATTTAAAATAATTGAAAATAGCTTTCAAAAATAAAATATCTTGTTATCTAAGATTTTTTCAAACTTATATAGGATTTGTTAATTGGTTTTGAATCTACTTCAAGTGTAATGTAATACGATCTATAAATATGTTCAAGGAGGAAAAGCTACATGCTGGGAAGGGGGAATACGTGTCCCGGGACTTATTCAATGGCCTGGAGTTATAGAAGCTGGAACTATTATTAATGAACCAACAAGCAACATGGATATTTTCCCTACAATTGTTAAACTTTCTGGATCAATTGTTCCTCAAGACAGGTATTTTTTTTTTATAATTTATGTATAGACTTCCCTAGATCACATTTCTTTCTCTTTGAACTGTCTCTGTTTGGATTCCCCCCCCCCAAAAAAAGTAAATGGAAGTATATTATTTAATCTGATCTCCTGAAACGAACAAACTTATGCAATAAGAAAAAAAGAGATAACCCTTACCAATCAGAATTTATATTTTTTTAACATAATAAAGGGATAAATGATTGATTGCTAAGGTTACTGGACTTCGCTAGGTAATGAATTTCTATGCTGCCTGGCATGCAGGAGTGCTATCTTCTGCATAGCTGCAAGCATGTGAAAATAGTTAGGAGGGATGCCTTGAAAGAGAAGAAAAAAAGTTGGCACATGACGTGCATTGCCCACTGAACACCAGGAGGCATGGTCAATAAACTGGGTGTTGCTTTGGTTTGTATGACATGTAGTATAGAGGTTGGTGTCAGCAGCAGTAATGGTTACCTCTAGCATTGGCATGAGAGGCTGCAATAATATCCCCATTCTTTGGTGGTCTGTGTTAGTAATGCTACACTTCCAGCATTGGTGCACAGTCCAGGCTGTAATAAAAACCCTCACCACTGGTGTTTGGTGTCAGGCTAGACTGCAAAAGGAACCCCAATATTCATGGTGAGAGACTTGGTTAGGCTGTAATAGTAATCTCCAAGCATTGGTGGTCAGTAACAGGCTTAGGCAGTAATAAGAGCCAGTCCACCCCTAGCACTGGTTAGACAGTAGAAAGCTTAGGCTGTAAAAATAAACTCCTCCAGCACTGGTGGTCAATGGTAGGTTTAAACAGTAATATGAGCCCCCTCCATCATTAGTGGTCAGTTTCAGGCTTAAGCTGTAATAAGACCCCTCGCAGCATTAAGCATTAGTTGTCAGTGGCAGGCTTAGACTATGAAAAGACCCCCCCCCCTCCTCCAGCACTGGTGCTCAGTAGTTAGCTTACTTGATAAAATTCTGCTGCCTTAACCCACTGATGGCTGGGATTATACTGTCTGGTTTCTTTTAATGCTGGTGCCAGGACCTAGCACACCACTGGTATTCTGTGTATTACCGGCAGTCAGGGGTGGACTGACAACTCATGGGGCCCCCGGGCAATAGGGGATCATGGGGCCCTTGTGTCCTTGCCCAAACTCAAAAAAGACTATGAAAAAGGTACCAGGGGCATCTCATGAGGCCCCCTACTGACCCCCCGGGCAATAGGGGATCATGGGGCCCCTGTGTCCTTGCCCAAACTCAAAAAAGCCTATGAAAAAGTTACCAGGGGTATTTCATGGGGCCGCCTACTGACCCTGGGCCCTCGGGCAGTGCCCGGGTTTCCAAATGGTCAGTCCGCCCCTGCCGGCAGTGGTGGTATCCTGAGTGTACTGACCCCGCCTCTATTCCCCTCAGGATTCCCGCTGCTCCTTGTATATCTCAACAGAGCAACAATGTTGATGGAGGAAAAAGCCACCATACAACAGGAAAAATGTCTGGTGAAACCAGAACCTGTGAATACATTTGCAGTCATTACCTAATCATTACACCTAAAGATGGCTCTTTAACAGCTGAGATCTCTACTTCAGTGAATTTCCAGAAAGTATAGCTCAATAGCACGATACATTCAGCAGTGAAGCTTCATTTAAATTGCAGAGCATTTCCAACAAAGGTATAAATCAATTAGTTATTTAAAAGTTGTTTAAATCTGAGAGCAACTTTTGTAACTTTGTAATCTATGTCTTCCTCTCAGCCAAGTGGTAAAAGAAAGCCAAGTACTTTAAAACATGACCTGCTTTACCCTCCCGTTTCAAAGTTAAGTTAATTTGTAGTTGAATTAGTTCATCAAAGTGCATTAGAGCATTTTCTTAGTATTCTAAATGTTAAGTTGCTATCAACAGCAGGGTCACTTTTAATTTTGTACTGGAGCATTGGAGCACCATCTGACAGACTGTTACTTTTGCCCAAGTGCATTGAAGAGGCACTCTAAAGCTTATGATTTATTGAATGCTTTTAGGAAACGTAACATAAAGGAAAAGCAAGCACATTATTCAGCTTCTTTTTTTTTCCATTTTTTTCAAATACCTCAGACATTATGCAGATAAATTCAAATCTTGTTACTTTATGTGACTCTGTTCATAATGTCGTAGTCTTTTTCAGCTAAAATGTAAAATTCATCACCATGCATAAGAATTGATATTGAGTCAAAAGCTCAAGAATGCATTTCAGTCATACTACAGTGCAACCAAACATAGTGCATAGCAATCACAGAATCTCTGCAATCAATTTTGTACATGGAAATGAATCAATAACTAGTGCCAGGACAAAACTATACATAATACTGAATTATGTGTGTTTGGAATTGAACTGTATTGTAAGTCTGTGAATTACAGACTTACCTGAGCTGAATCCATTGCAATTAATATATGGTGTTAATTTTAGTTTTACGCAAACTGTTAGACAGGGCCAAATTGTTTTGCAGGCTGGCTGGTAAGTGTTGCTAGGAAATCCTTTGTCCCTCCATGTGCACCTTACTGCTAAGGCTGCTTATAGGTTGGGATGTTTGCCATTTTTTGTGTAGTTGGCTAACTTGGATGCAGGGACGCAGTGGATGCCTTTGCTGTCATTTTGGTATAGCTGGGCGTCAAGTGCGTCCCTGTACCTTTAAGGAGGGATGGGCTCCTCCAGGAACACCTGCCATTAACCTATCCATGGATACATGTACTCCTCCTATGGAGTCTGTAGAAATTTTAGTTAGGTCCACAGTATACAGAGTACCCTTGATGCGGGACTGTGTCTTACACATGTATTTGCAAATTTGTGCAAACAAAATCCTCTGTTTTTAATGCAAACTGTTAGACAGGGCCAAATTGGTTGTTTTTTCAGGCTGGCAGGAAAGTGTTGCTGATAAATCCTTTGTTTGCGATGTGCATTGCCCCTCCATGTGCACCTTACTGCTAAGGTTGGGACAGTTGCCATTTTTTATGTTGTAAATTTTAGCAGTTTGTTGATGAGCTAGATTTACTGGTGAATGGTTTTGTACTTTATGTAATGGTCAGTAATGGTCAGGGTCTACTAAAGGCAAGTTCAAGTCACAGATGGGCTTATTCCTTGATAAAGGCCAAACGCTTTATGGGTAGCAATATAATTTTAGTATTTTTAGTGTTCAGTACTGTTAACACAAAATTCCAGAATGTGTCTCAATGAGGTATAGTAAAAGTGATGACAAAGATCTAATTAAACTTGAGAAGAAGATCCAGTTTTATTGGTCTTGTATGGTGGTCAATTGGCATTGACCAGCAACACAGTGGCATCTTGATTAATCCAGAAATTGTATTGTAAGTACATATTTAATTTCACATCAGCATACGATTCCTTAGTATGACATACACATACTGTACTTGTAGCATTAGTGACATTTTTAACAACAGGGGCATCCATTTGCCAGTTTGAGCTCACATTGGTTATAATAAACAGGTCTGCAGTATGGTTTATGCTTTTTAAAGAGGAACTGAATTCTGGAAGCTGTGCCAGAAAAAGCAGGCAGATAGTAAAGGGTTAGTTACCAACATTGCCTATGTTCTCCCAACTGATATTTTTCTCAATTTCTGACGTGCCAAGCTTTGTTTTGAATGTGTGGAGCTGGCCGTAGAGTCAGGCCTCATGTCAGTGTTATGACACAGTTATGACATCACCAGATCTCCTGACACCAGCACCAAGATGTAGCAGTGCCTTAGATTTCACACTGCAGTTACACAGCTATGAGCTTGTGAGGGTTCTTACAGTCCATGAGCACACTATATACCAGGAGGCACCAATATATTTTTTAGAGATGTTCCAGACAACAGGTAGATTTTCAGGGTACTACTTAGGTACAATAAACATGTAGAGTATATTTATTCCTATAATATACTGTAGCAACTTTTTTAATTTCAATTCCACTTTATGTTGGCCACACACATGGCACTTTTGAAGACATATTAACCAACTTCAGCTAGAACAAAAAGTGAGGAAATATTTTCAATAGGGGAACAAACAACAATACACACCTGCTAGTGGTTCTAATCCTTTTCAATGCAATACAAACATTTAGATTTTTTTAGGTTGGAGGATAGAAAGTGTGTTACTGGGGTGTCATGGGGTAAAAATAAAGGAAAAAAGTAAAGCAAAATATGCAGCTACCACAACTAAGTACTAATAGGCTGCAACGTATTACATTTATGTTCTTGGGTTTAGATACACTTCAGCTTTTGCAAGTATCTTGGCACATATCTCATGATTTAGTTTGTAAATTCTTGAAATACCTCTATGTCCCCTAATTATCTGAATTCAACTATGCCTGCTGTTCTTGTCCATAATGTCCATTTCTCTTGAGAGATAAGGTAAGAATTAGAAGTGAAGTAATTACTTGAAGTGCCTAATTATATTTGTTTGTTAACTTTTATTGTGATAAGATTCAGCCACAGATAGGCTTAAATAGTGTGTAGCACACATTGTATGCACATAAAATTACTGTTTAAAGGTGAGCTTAAGTTAAATCTAGTTTGAGCCAATGTGAAATTACATTTTCTGGCACAAAAGGAGCATGGTACATGCTTAAATCCAAAACATGAAAACAGTGCAAGGATGCAAAATATATAACACTTTATTGTTTTTTCTAAGTACAGATAAAGTAGGGCCATAGTGTTCATGAAGGATGGGACATCCATTTGGGGAATGCTCATGTTGACTACAGTAGTAAAAAATGTGACTTTACCTGTCTTTAAATACTTTAATCTGAACTCCCGGAAGGTGCCTGTTAGATTGTAAGCTCTTATGAGCAGAGCCCACTTAACCCTCTTGTGTTTCATTGTATGGTAAGTGTACTGTCTCCCGTTAGATTGTAAAGCAATGCTCAAACTGTTGGCTTTATTTAAATATGTTTAATAATACTATTATAGTATTAATGATAATATTATACAAAGAACAAATCAATGCACCTCCATGGTACATGATATATCTTTAAGGATTCTTTTCAATACAGGCAATGCCAGTACCTAAATTGTATAGTTTTTACAGTACATCTTGTTGGAGGCAAACAGCCCAACCAATAAAGTGTTCTGCAGTGCAGATGGCTTGCTGATATTCAGAGAGAGTAAAGTGACAGAGGGATGAGTTCTTCTCGTTTTCAATCCAGTCGTAGAGTAGGGGTAGAGAGTAGACATGAAGGGAAAGTGAAACTGCAGCAGAAAAAGATCAGTTAGGGAAGGGTTATATCAGGATTAAATCATTCATATTATTGCTTTTGTGTGTCCCCCCCTGGGGAGATTCACATACTACATTTGCCCTGGTGACAATTGTGTCTGTGGGAATTCTACAATTTTAAAATGGTCACAGGGACAGGGGGTGAAGAAGAATCTGTCAGTGGGAACATATGTTTCAGTGGAAACCATCTAAGAGGAGGTTTTCCCTTGCTTTGGAAAAATTTCTTCTAATTTCCTATTGTGTCTCTTGGACAAGAAGTGACAGTAAAGAAGGAAATCTGTCAGGTGTCAACCTTTCCAGACTATTTGTATGTATATGTATGTATATATATATATATATACAGTATATATATATATATAAGCTGCTTTACACACCCTGAGCACTCCTTTTCAACCATGGCATCTGCAGATCAAACAGTCAACTTTAATGGCTGTAAGGGATAGGAGGGTTTAATTCCACTTTAAATATACTGAGGTTCACTGTAAATGTTAAACTTACCCAAAACTGATATAATTGCTCTCGGGTTGACATCAATATGTTTATTGATAATATGACTGTATCTTTCTAGAACACTGCTAAATACCTTTTCTCATCAGCAGTATATAGCAGTCTTGTGACCTCTATCAGTGTATAGCTGAGCACTGGTTAAAGAGTTTTCATTCCCCTCTGATTGTCCCTATGAGGCTGTATGACCCCTGGCACTCTTTCTAGACAGCACTGATTGGCCCTGTGCTGATCACATGCAGCCCCCCCCCCCCCAAAAAAAAAACTCTCTTGCAATACACTCCAAACAGATCATGTGCAGACTTACCACTGCTGCCCTGTACTATGGCAGGTGGATTTGGAACAGTAAAAGAAGGGGAGGATTTGAAAGAACGGGATCAAACAGCCTTTTTACACAATTCAGAGGATTAACTCCTTAGGTTCCACAGTGAGTATTAGTAACTCTTTAAGACCATTAAAACAACAAAGTGTATTTTTGTGAAAGAGGTAATACAACAGATGGAGGTTTCATTGAGTGCCACTCAAGTGCCACTGATGGGAAGCCACCTTTGTTTTCACCATAATCTTGTGAAGTGGTAGAAAATTATGCTTGGAACTTGAGACCTTGATGATGTTGTCTCCCAGAGATAAAATCAGTACATCGAGGTTCAATTTATAATGTGGACACATACTAAAAGGCTGTGGAGCTAAGGACATAGATTTTGGAATCTAATTTTTGTACTGAATTTCAGTGACGCCAGTCCAACATTGATAGTTTTCAGCATGAGGATTGCAGCAAGGAAACTAGTGTAAATACCACCGGTACCATAGGTTTCAGTAACTGTTAAGTACATTCTGCAGTAGAGGAATAATATGTACAACTGCTCATGAAATAGGCCTCTTTCAAATGAGTGGTCAGGGGGTGGTAGAAACAGGCAGCTGTCCATCCAAACTGAATATTAACCACTTGCCTACCGGGCACTTTTACCCCCTTCTTACCCAGATGAATTTTCAGCTTTCAGCGCTCTCATACTTTGGATGACAATTGCGCGATCATGCAACACTGTACCCAAACTAAATTTTTATCATTTTTTGAGACAAATAGTGCTTTCTTTTAGTGGTATTTGATCACCACAGGGGTTTTTATTTTTTGCTAAACAAACTAAAAGAGAGCAATTTTTGAAAAAAAAAAAAAGTTTCTTATTTTCTGTTATAAAGTTTTGCAAATAAGTAATTTTTTTCCTTCACTGATAGGCTGCACTGATGGGCACTGACGAGGAGTCACTGATGGGCACTGATAGGCTGCACTGATGGGACTGATGAGGCTGCGCTGATAGGTGGCACTGATGGGCACTGTTAGGTGGCACTGATAGGTGGCACTGATGGGCACTGATGTGCAACACTGATGGGCACTCTAGGTGGCACTGGTGGGCAACACTGATGACGGCACTGATAGGTGGCAGTGATTGCCAGCACAGATGGGCACTGATGGGCACTATTGGCTGCACTGATGGGGTTACACTGATCACCAGGACACTGATGATCAGTACCCTGATGATCAGTGTAGATGTTCCCCAGCAAAATGCCGCTTACTGGCACTCCTTTCCTCACGCACTGAGTAGAGGATTGCCAATAACTGCCATTTCCTATTTACCTGGTGTTCAGCTGTCATTGGACACAGCTGGTCACATGGTAAAAGCAGCTGTGATTGGCCCGTTCCATAGCCATGTGATCAGCTATGGGGGCACCCGGGGGCGCAGTTCTGGGAGGATGTCCATAGACGCCCTCCCAGAACTAGCCGGCCGTGCTGTAGCTGTCTTTTGGCTATATTATGGTCGGGAACTAGTTAACAGCTGGATGAGGCTGTTCACATGCTGTGGCCACTTGGGCTGCAGAGTTTGAGAAATGGCACCACTTGTCAAACTCACTAATTCAGTAGGGCCATGCTGCAAGTGTGTGCTGCAACCATGTGATGCATGTGATTGCAGCATGGTAGTGCTACGTTATATGGTTAAATCAGGCAATAATAGCACCTCCTCACTACCTGTCAAATGCCTTCTGAAAAGCACTATGATTGAAAGGAGAGAGCCTGAGATCAGTACAGCAGAGATTTCTGCAGATCCAGACCTGAAGTGAAGAATAGGTGCATGGCTTCTGGGGTTTGCAGTGTGCAGGCGCTAACAGAGGAAGAACCTGGCCAGGTAGCAGATTTGTGGCAGGACATCTCCTAGGCAATGCTCTTCCACTAGAAATGAGCCTCCCTGTTGCACTGATCAACTCCTCAGGTTTTCTCCTTCCAGTTTTTGCAGCTCTCAAACCAGACCAGTGTGCCTTTCTGGGCTTATCAGCTTCCTTATGCCTCGTACACACTATAAGAAAATCATCCAAAAATTTCGTACGAGGACCGATCGTCCGATAATCGGATCATTAGTACACAGCTTTTGAGAGCCGATCACGACAATTCGTACGACAATATCCGAAGAGACAAACGCAAAACATTTTCTCATACAATACCAGATCGTACGATTTTCATTTAATCAGTACAGTAGTCTGAAAATACAATACAAATACAACGCAATACATGACATCACTTTCGAAATTCTTTTCTTTCATGGGAGAATTTTCGTATTTTTAGTAACCTCTTCACTTTCGATGTGAGACTAGCAGACGAAAAAAAAAAAACGGCTGATCGTTCGTCCGATATTCTCATCATGTGTACGGGGCATTAGTGAGGAAGCTGTCAGGCTCAGAGAGGGATGCTGACAGTGGAGGCACTGAGGGCCAGATAGGCACAGCCAAAGGGCCCATTGTGGCCCTTGGGATGCAATTTGCTCAGGTCTGTTTTAAAAAATGTTTAACACTAATTACCTCATTTTCTAATGATTAAATATGATAGTAATCTTCTCTTGCTGTGCTGGGATCCTCTGCACTGAAAGCTTGCAGGGCAGGTCCTTGGCAAAACCAAAAAGCTCTAAGTTCAGAAGATGATGATCTAAGATTATTGTATGATAACATTTAATTTAATTTAGGATTTGGTATTCCAGAAATTCATAAATTCATCAAGTGTATTTCTGATTGCTTGATTCTTTGGAAATGTGCCTATAATTTGGAAAATATGAGATTTGTCAACAGCTGCCAGAAATTTACAGAAAAAGTGAATATTAGAAATGTGGCTCAGGTTAACAATGGAAATAGAGTGAGAAAGGTTTAATAGATCAGAAGGCAAAAATGAAGAATTATAGGTATTTTGTCTTAATTTTCTTATTCTTTTATATCAGCAGCTTGTCCTGATAATCTGGAATATTTTATAAAGTGGCACTCGACTGACCCTGTTGGTACCAGATTATCAGAATTGTATTGCACTGGAAAGTAAGCTCTTGTCTATGAATTAATTACTGAGCCAAAAGCATTACATGACTTACACATGAGAGAAGTATGCAAATAAAATGAAATTATAGATGATAATGCAATATAAATGTATGCCTTACCTTTACCTAAGGGCTATAATTTTCACATGTTCTTGCAGAATTATTGATGGAATGGATCTGATGCCTTTGGTTCTGGGAAAAAGTGTCACATCCAACCATGAATTCCTGTTCCATTATTGTAATGCTTATTTAAACGCTGTACGGTGGAATCAGAGGAACAGTAAGTTAATTTTATTGCATTCTTTTTAAATATTTATGATATGCTAGCAACACTTTATATATATATAAAAACATCAATCAATTTTGAAGTTCAGCTTTTTATGAAAAAAATCTTATTAGGAAAAAATGTATTGAAAAGCGCAGTTCACAACAATATATTTTTAAAAATCCTGTTTTTTTTTTTTTTTTTACCTTTTTATTTATGTGTGCCATTACAATACAATATTGACATTTATACCATAAGTCAGATACTGATAGCAATATTGTGTTTCAAATCCCAATGGGAGACATAAACAATAGAAAAAAACAGCAATTATCCATTGTGGTCATACACAGTTTACCAAATATTTCTGAGAGAACAAATGGGGGGTGGGATACTGTCAGCACCTGTGGTGATGAGCTCTTATTCCACAGCTTGGGGTTCCCCAGGGCGCAGAGTCTAAGCCCCAGCCTGCTTGTTCACCAGAGCCCCTGATGGTGGGGATGGACTTGGAGCAGGCTGGAACCAGGTCGTGGCCCCAAGGTACACCCAGCTGTGGTAGAAGAGACCGCTAGCGGGAGCAGGGTGCAATGGAAGTAGACTAGGAGATCCAGAAGACAAGCCGAAGTCGGGACAGGCGGAAGACAAGCAAGGTCAGGAACGACGCCTGGGTCGGTACACAGGTGGACGATGTAGGAGAGAAGTCAGGGACAAAGCCGGGGTCAGTACACAGAAACACTAGACCGGATACTTGGAAGAACACTGGGGAGCACAGACAACAAACGTTGCTCAGGCAATGTGGGACAGACTGAGCATATCTTAAATAGACAGGCAGACAAGGAGGCGGGCCAGGAAGTGATGAAAGTGAAGAACATAAAACCCAGGGAATAGCAGACGATGCCCATAGGTGAGCAGAGAGAGACACACACATGTGAAGGAAACACAAACAGCAAGGAGGTAAGACAAAGCAACAGGAGGCTGCAGGCTAACTTTTGACAGATACAAAAATACACAACCTCATGGACATGCTAATCCTCGAAACCCTTTTAAAAGTGAAAGAGGTTGAATAGCGATTATTTGTGTACATGTTGTGGGGTATAAAAGTTGACACTTAAACTGATGTTGTCTACCTTAGCAAACCAAGAAGACTTAGAGGGAGGTTGGACCTTCTTCACCATCAGTGGAATACACAGGTTTTGCTGTGTTTAATAGGTGGATGGTGAGAAGCTTTATATTTAGCAATATGTTTCGTGGGCAGATGTAATAGGCAGGCAGCAGGACCATGGCTTAGATCAACAGAAGTGAGGTGTTTAATTATGACATGCATCTCACTCCAGAATGATTGAATCTTCAGGCATTGCCAGAAAGTGTAGAGCTGGGTGCCTGTCTCCGTTCCACATCTCCAGCAGGTATTTGGAATTTGTTGGAAAAGTGGGTAAAAGAGAGCAGAGAAGAGAGAGGGCTGCTGAGGTATCAGTAAAAAAAAGTAATCTTTGTAGTAGACAAAGGGGGTAAGGGGGTAACTACTTTCCCTGGGTAAGGGGGGGTAGAAGTGTAAAGAAAGTGGGGGTGACATGGGCAAAAAAGATGCCAGAGGAAAGCCAGCCTAGGGGCAAACAGAGAGGCAGCTAAGAGGTGTGATTTTATGATGTGATGCCAAATTTTACACTTCCCCTCCCAAAGGCTGCCCTTCTAGTAGTATTATGTTTACCTTTAGCCTTAATCAGCAATGTTCACTAGGTGGCCTGCTCAGACCTGAACAGACTTTTTCTCCAAAAATGGCTGCTTTGTACAGTACAATTGTGCCCCAACTCCATTCATTCTAATGGGAAAGCTGTCCTCATGGCTGCCTCAAGCAGTCATTTGGAGAACAATAGCAAAGCTACTCACTCTGCACAGAGTTTGCTTACTTCTGCAGTTGGTAGAGTTGGATATAGATGTCAGAAGCCTTATAGGCATGAAATCAGATTCTTAAGCCTTGCCAATCAAAAATATCAAACCTGCATTGATACTGCATTGTTTTGGGAAACTATGTACGATTTTGCATGAGTTTACACAATGCACACGAAGCACATTTTTACGCTTGCGGTGCTGTTACCCTATAATAAGACTAGGATGAATACCAAAGAATCCCCCTGGGACTTTTAAGGCAGACAAAAATGTAAAGTAGAAATATCTAAAAGACAAATGTCAATCTTTATTGTGTAAACATATCTTGTTAAAAAAAAAAAGAGACCTAATTGGTCCATAAAATCATGTTGCAATATGGATCACTTAAGAATGTACAAACAACTCAATAATGATACAGAGTACATATACCCTGGAATACTTAGATACACCAAAGGAAACTGTCGAAGAGATATGTAACTTGGTTAGTTGGAGTGTAGTCTTCAAATAAATCTTGACATGTTTTGGAAAATCATTCCTTCTTCAGGGAGAAATTAGGTATAACAACATTACAATACAGCAGGTAAAGCATCCGTAAAGTACAAAAATTGTTTGGAAAAGAGTTATTACATAATAGGGCAGTAAAAACAGAAAATTACATGTATATGCTCCTCTTACACACGGGCAGACTGACCATTTGGAAACTCGGGCACTGCCCAAGGGCCCGAGGTCAGTAGGGGGGCCCATGAGATGCCCCTGGTACCTTTTTTATAGGCTTTGAGTTTGGGCAAGGAAACAGGGGCCCCATGATCCGCTATTGCCCGGGGTCTCATGAGTTTTCAGTCCGCCCCTGCTCTTACAATAAAATTTACACTTATATCCTCTATATCTATAGTAGACCCACAGGCCTTGAGTATGGTAACAATGCACTGAAAAGTGCCTGTGTGAGTGGTTGCCTGACAACCACTCACACAGGCCCCATGGGAGGAATGCCCCCAGGCCATCCAAATCACCACAAGGATGCTATGAGCTCCAGCACTGAGAATCCAAGGAATCTATGAATGATATGTATGAATACAGTACAGTAATTGTACATAAGTAGAAGAGAGTATATAAAGTAGAGCCAT